TACGGGTGTAGGGGTTTAGGGTTTAGGGTTTAGGGGTTTAGGGTTTAGGTTTCAGGAATATACCGACATAAAGTCTACAGGGATCATACTAACTGAGTTGAAGCGAGCTCGTTATATGCAAATTCGACGAGTATTGAGGGGGGGGGGGGGTATCGGGTTTTGTGGGAATCACCAAACCCCAAGTACCAAGGCCCTAGGCCCTAAACCCCTAAACCNNCCCTAAACCCCAAACCCTGAAGCCACCCCAGGCCCGAAAATTCTGATAGGCCGAAGATTGGCGGGAGGAGGCCTCCAGCCACAGCAGAAGTACCAGGGAATATCGGCAATACAGGATTTCCGGAGCCACTGGTCCTTAATCCTTTTTAGGGGTTTAGGGTTTTGGGCGTAGAAGAGTTGCGGGTTCCATCAAGGGTTGCTGTTCCGGTGTCCTGTAAGGGTACTACAAGGGCTTCGGGGCCTAGTCGTTTTGGGATTTAGGGTTTTGGGATTATACCTATTATAGTCTCCATTGTAGTTCCTTTTTTGGTTTAAGCAATTATATTAAAGGGTTTTTATAAGGTATCCCCCAAAAGGAACTACAATGGAGACTATAGGTAAGGATGCGCGATTTCTGCTCTGGGGTGTAGGATTTAGGGCTTAGGGTCGACGGTGTAGGGCCGGGGTTGGAGTCTTCACGCGCAGAATTTCGTGTGGCCTCGTGGTCTAAATAAGCTTTAGGGTTTAGGGTTTAGGGTTTGTGTGTCTGAGGTTTCAAAAAAAACTCTTTCATGGCTTCGGGTTTTTAGGCGCTTCCAGAGTTTGCATTTCTTGCGGTTAGGTGGTCGAGAAGCACCGGGCTCCGAGCCCAAATCCCAAATCCCGAAATCCTAAGCCGTGAAACTCCAAAACTCTAAAAGCCGAAACCCTAAACCCTAAACCCTTAACCCTAAAATCCGAAACCCCGAAACCCTGAAACCCTAAACCCCCCAAACCCTAAAGCCTAAAACCCTATATACTGTAAACCGTTGGCGCCGCTCTCAGGGAACCACGGAATTCAGGCTTAAGGGTTAGCCTTCAGGGGTGTAACGAGCTTTTCGGGTTTAGGGGCTTAGGGTTTAGGGTATAGGGGTTCGGGGTTTAGGGTTTAGGGTTTAGGGGTTTAGGGTTTAGGGTTTTCGAGAGCGCGACAATTCCAGTCTGGCCCATATGTTGCTACGCGCCTAGCTCCACAAAGTAAGTCCTTACACCCCACCGCAGCACCCCTGATCCCAAAGCCTCATTTGAATAAATATAGAAGCCCTAATGCGTAGCAGCAGTTTTAAAAAAAATTTTAGGGTTCAGTATTGTGTATTCAAGTATTAGAGAGGCCTAAATAGTTACCAATACTGTTTTGGCGGATCCTTATTCTATTTAGAGTATAGTATATCCCCAAACCATATCTATTAAAGCTCCTATATTAGACTATAGCTCACCCCCAACATCTTGTTGTAACTAATTAGGCTCCTCAAAAAACACGATCAACACTTTGCCTCGGAGTACCCGTGTGGTAACGCATGTGCCGACGGTTTGAGGCAACTCTACCCTAAACCCAGACCCTACATCCTAAAGCCAGTAAAGTCCGCAAGCCCTATAAACCTTTAAGCCATTAGAGTCTTAGAGCCGTTCTGCAATCCTGCCTTCGGCTTCTAGGGTTGAGGTTTAGGGCGAAGGCGTTTATGGTTTTAGGGTTGAGGGTCAAGCAGGGAGCATGCTTTACACTAGAGCAGGGCTTCCTGAGCTGCTTCCAGGTCTTGCTAAATTCCAGAAACTCATTGTCATATGAAGCCCCGCAAGTTGAAAAAAAGAAGCGCAAGAAGGGATGCTCCATCTGCAAACCCAGGGTTTGGAGTTTAGGGTCATGTGTGGACCGTACCTGAAGAGTCTTAAAGTCTCTGGAGCAGCCTAAACCGTAAAGACCTAAACCCTGTCTGGTGCTTAGTAGGGAATGGGGGAATGGGTTATAGGGACTACTATAAGGGACCTTAAGGGAATATCATAGGGATCCATTCCCCCATTCCCTACTAAGCACCAGACAGAACCATATGGTTTAGGGTCTAGGGCTCCCAAACAAAGGTCTTCTGCATGCTTCTGAAAGCGATGCTGCGAATCGGCACTGTTGTGGCCATCTCTTGGCTGATCATGGCTTTCCTGGAGACTCGCTGTACTATAGAGGTCGCATAGAGTTTGCAATAGAACTACTTTCAGTCCCCCGTAGAAACGTACTACAATCCAACCCCCCGTCACTTTCGAAGCGCACTCTAAAATTCTAGCGGCCCAATAGCAAATAAATGCCTCCCTGAAGTTCTTCAACACACTCTGAAACCGTAGCCCTCAACCCAAAGCCCTGGGCCACTACCCCCCCCCCCGCATCCTAAAGCCAGTATTAATCGCAGCAATAAACAACGCAATAACCGTAGTAGTCACAACAATGATACCAATCATTAGAAAGAATGCAAATAATTCTAACACGACTAATTGTAATGATTTTAAGCCGAGAAGCACAAACATACTAATAATACGAACATATTACATCTAAGCACAGAAAACCCAGAAGCCATAAACCCTACACGAGGAACCCTGCCGTACGGCCCAGTTTCAGTGTTTAAATGTACTGGTATTTTTCTTTGCCTGCCACTTCTCAAAAGGGTTTAGGGTTCTAATGCTGGTTCTGTACGGGCTTTGGGGCGCAAGATTTCGGGTTCAGGGTCTGGCGGTTAGGTTTGAGGGTTCAGGGCTCAGGGTTCAGGCTTTTTGCCGAAACAGACCACGTCAGCGCAGAAGATGTTGTCGGGATCAGGGCTTCTTGCGATGTTTTTCGACATGGACGTTGCAGAGAGTAATGGTACCTCCAGGGTCCTATATTACAATACTAAGGATCCGTTAATTTGGGGGTTTGTTGTAGACTCCCTAGTTTCGGAGTCTTGCATTTCAGGGAAAGGGAGGGCAAGCAGTCGCCTCAGCACCACACTATAAACTCTAAACACTAGTCGAAAACAAGGAGAACGACTGGGACGAGCGCACCGTGCTCATGGTGGGCTGCAGCATAATCCCGGGGCTTGCGGGGATGTACCTCTGCAGCAGGGCTTCAACGAAGCACTCGCTGTCGACGGCTGGCTTTCTACTGTGTACCTGGATACTGGGTCTGGTACAGACAGACGGTGTCCAGGACATGGAACCTAGGTTGCTGAGTGGTATCCGTTTTTTGCGTTTTCCTTTCGTGGTTCTTGGGTTCCTAATACCTTCCGGCCAGCCTTAAACCCCGGGCCCTTAACCCGAAGCCAAAAGCCCTAAGCTCTCAACCCACCAAGTTCATACTCCTTCTACTTCACTGGTCGAAGAGCTGAGCAGATGGTCCCTTGACCGGAAGGCCCCAAACTTTAAACCCGTAACTCACAAAAAAAGGGCCGACCACAAAAATTAGTCCAAACCCTAACCCGGTGTAGGGTTTCTTCCACAGATGTCACTGATAAGGAGATGATCTACCAAGGCAGGGGAAGATCGCAATGGAGAACAAGCCTTCTGGCCAACGAACTCCTGCACCCGGTCCCTGGGCTTGGGTTTAGGGTTTACGGTTCCAGGTCTCGGGTTTAGATTTTGTTTTATGTTTAGGGTCTAGGGTTCTCAAGTAGTAAGCTTTCACCCTCTTCTGTTTTGGGCTCTGCTGTTTGGGCAAAACTGAAGGTTTACCAACTTCAAGAAAGGCTTTTTGATGAAGGTGATACTGAGAAGACTGGCCTATAAAAGCTTCTAGAGGACATGCAAAACCTCCACAGAAACCCTAATTACAGAAGGGCCCTGCTAAGACGATTCCCTACCGCGGAAACCCGATATGCGTATGTTCCCCAACAGCGGTATCCCCTCCCCCACTTAGAGGGTCGAGGGGTTTAGGGTTTAGGGGGTCATAGGTACGAGAACCCCAAATTAGGATCCCCCCGCTCAGGGTGCTTGTACCTCCGGTTACTACCTACACTTACTAAGTCCCTAAACCACAAACCCTAAACCCAAAACCCTAAACCCTAAATCCTTTAGGGCTGAGACTTCAGGGTGTCATAGACGGCTCTTCTGAAACAGACGTTCCCACGACCTCCGGGCTGAGGTTTAAGAGGGCGTTATCAAAAGAAATCCCCAAGAGCGACCCTATTTATGGGGCTCTTTGTTACTTAGTACCTACTTGCTGAGTCCCTAAGCCCTATACTTTTTAAGCCCTAAACCAACAAAACCTTTAAGGGGATCCTTTACCTTTACTAACCGCTAAGCCAAGAGCCCTAGACGGCGGGAGAGAACCAGGTTTAGGGTCTAGGGTTGAGAAGCAAGGTTCAAGACATCTTGCTGATTCTCCTGTCTGTCCAGCGGCTGAACTCACTACAAACCTCTGCCGGCCATGCTTTTATCCCTCATTTGATGAAGCTGCTTCTCGGCCTTGTTCTTGGAGGTTTCAGGGCTTTTTCGGGGTCTCGGGTTGAGGGTCTAGGGTTTCTTTGCTTTGACACGTCAGGAGCCAAGACTAAACGGACAGACAGTTTATACTGTCTACAGTCTACCGCCAACCCTGAACCCAACCTGGAATGCCAGCAGCCGCGCTGGTAGTCGCAGTAGGCTTCGGAGTAGGAATAGCAGCAGCAACAGCTGAATCCTCGTTGCAGGCAGAGGTAGTAGTCGACGTCGTCGTAGTAGTAGCAGCCGTAGCAGGAGGAGGAGTCACAAGGAAGTCCTACCCGGTCATCATCAGGATAGACATATGACAGTCATGATAGCCGCGATGATCTGGATGTTCATGTTGTCAGCTGCCTTGATTTTATCGGTACCGCTTGGCCGCAAGAAAATTCCGACATTGTAGTACCTTAGTACACAGCGTGGCAGGAGGAGTGACAGAAACGTGAGGAAGAAAAACACACCACTAAGCTTATCGGAGTACTCTCAGAGCAATGATGCAATCAAGCTAGTCACAGTAGCAAGGCCGGTAGGAGTAGCTCGGGCAAGAGTACGACAAGTACCAAGGCTAGTAACGGCTAGTACCACTGATGCAGAACAGCTGCTTTGATGACAATGCCACCGATAGAGTGCTGGTAGATGGCCGAGAGTCCAACCTCCTCATCACCACCTATCGCAGGTTTTGCTGGGTTGGCACAGTCTACACTGCCGGGCAAGTCCTTAATTTGAGCCTGGTGTGGACACACGCCGGGTGGGAGGACTACGCACAGGTGGATGTTGCAGTGAAACATTGGTCCCTCATGGGGTTTCTGGGTTTATCTAGTGTTTCTTCGTGGGGCTTTGGAACTTCCTGCCAGTAAAAGGTTCTAGTTTACTACCACCAGAAGCCGCGAAATGGACCTTGATGCTTCCGAATTTCAGGACCTTTTACGACCTTCTACAGAAGGTTACACCGGTTCGTAACTGACATAGGGGCTGTATTAATAATCAGACTAGGGTTTGGGGTAGGTTATGGTATAGTATAGTTATGATAAGAAACCCCCTTGGGATGGTATTGGTAAATATTCAGGCTTCTGCATTACAGAACCTTGCCTTGACTTCGTGGGCATTTTGTCCACCGTGTGTGACCCTTGTGAAATGCCCCATATCACCTCTAGTAGATTCCCCAAAGTTGGGAACCCAACAGCTTCAATCCTGAAGAGTAATGTATAAGGAATCCCTGCACGATTTGTCCTTAATCCGGTTTCCAACTTTTGTGGTTTATTATTGACTGTAAGAAACAACCACAGACACCATGACCCGAACACACTAAACCCCGAAGGCAGACACCGAAACTCCACTCCTAAGCCCGGAACCCAAACCCGTAACCCTACACCCGCAAGAGGTGCGAGCCTTGAACAATCGGAAGCAATGTCCAGGGAACAGGGTTTGGAGAAAAAAATCAGACTTGGACACGCAAAGCTACCCTACCGCTAACTCGAAACGCAGAAATGCCCTACACCTGTCTGTTCTACAACCTAAGATAGCCTGTAAAGTATTGCGAAAGTCTTGACCCTAACGGTCTCAAACATTAAACACCTTACAACACCCTTGCTCCAAGCCTGAAATCTATCAGCCCAGCCTTACGCCAACGCTTTGAAACTCAGTAGGCAAGTACTTCTCTTACCCTTTGAACTGACAGTTACAAAGCTTTTTTTGCACATGAACTGTGCAACTCGGTCCTTAAACAAAGATGACCCCAAACCCCAACATCCAAGTAAGCAAAATAACCCACAGGTCTTCGCTATCCTACTTTTCGCGTCAGCCGTCTGGCTCTGCGTGAAGATTTTGCAACTCGAAAGCCTGAGTCGGGGCTGTTTGAGGGTTCTGGGGTTTGCAATCAGAACGGTATTTCTCTTGCGATACTACTTCACGGGTTTAGGCTTCATGATTTCGGGCTGGGTGTTTGTTCAACAGGCTTGTTTGTATAAGTAGTGTGTTGGGGGATGTCTCGAGCTTTACTGCTCGGCCTTCTCGATTTTGGAGTTGGTTTTCAGGTAATTAGCCAATTTTCAGCTGCAACCCTAAGCCCCAAACCAAAGTTGAGCGCTGAGGTTTGCATACCGGCAGGTGCTGGAAAGTCTGCACTCAGCCAGAGTGGTTGCGGTGTCTTGGTACTGGACAAGCCCCAACCGCTAGGCCCAAACCCTAACGCTTGCGCAAACTATACATCCTGTCGGGCTGTTGCCCCTGAGCCCCAAACCCTACACACCCCTAACCACCTTAAGCCCTAATACACCGATGAAGCCCAGAAAATCTTTATGTCACCCTACAGACCCTTTGTGAAATCCCATGAAACTATTCTAAAGCTCTTTGAGGCTTTGTTGCAGCTGTGTAAGTCCAAGACTTGCGAGCATTTAGTAAACCCGAAACCCTCCCTACACCCTAAACCATGCAAACCCTAAACCCTGAAATACCTTGAACAGTAGAGGAGTGCACGTGCTTCACTGACATCATCAAAGACTCCGGGTGCCAAGCGCTGAAGCGAGCGCGCTGGGCGATGAGAAAGGACACCCCCCGAGATCGGCCCCTGTTCTGGGCAACATTATAGAGGCCCCCCAAAATTAATTGCCAATACTTTTCTTTGGGTTCCTTACTCTGATTCTAGCATAGTATGCCGCAAAACCCTGTTCTAATTGTTTTGGTCCTCATGCTAGGGGTTTAGGCTTTAGGGCTTTGGGGGATCAGGGTTCAGGGTTGAGGGGGTCTTTCTGGTTTGATAATTGCAAGTGGTCTAGTTTGAGTTGCAGAGCAACGGACCTGTAAGTGCTTTATCTTACAGACAGTCAGCCCAAGTCTCCTTGAATAAAGAGTATCCCTTGCCTAAACCCTAAACCCTGCCCCAAAGGTGTGATTCAAGGTACAATGCTTTATGGCTTGGACTGTCTCCTGGGGAAGGCGTTGCAAGAACAGCTTGTAGTTGTTTGAACAATGTTCGACCGGTTTCTGCTAGCTGGGGTGGCATCGCACAGTTCAGGGCACACACGCGCGAGCGCGCGCGTGCACCTGAGTGATTTTAGTGCCAGGGCCCCGCATCGTTGGGACGTCTTGAAGCCTAAAGCCCCGTCAACCTCAAACCCGAAACCTTAAACCCTAAACCTTTAACCTTATAAACCCTATACACCCTAAACCCTACACCCTAAAGCCCCAACAGCCCTAAATGAGTCGAAGGAGACCTGGGGCGTGGCGCTTTGCTTTACCAGCACCTTGGTGTCTTTTCCCTTCGCGAACATGCTGCGCCCCGGCAGATAGGGCCACAAGGGAGATCACAGGGTTCCTTTTAGGGTTCCTTGGTTCCTTGATGTTCCTTGTAAGGCTTTAGAGTTCCTTTAAGGGTTTAGGGTTCCTTAGTTCCTTTTAAGGCTTGAGGGTTCCTTTTAAGGCTTTAGGGTTCCTTAGTTCCTTTTAAGGCTTTAGGGTTAGTTTTCGGGTTCCTTAGTTCCTTTTTAAGGGTTTAGGGTCTAGGGGGGCTTCAGGGTTTAGGAAATTTGGCGCTTAGGTTTTTAGTTTGTGGCCGTAAGCTGACACCGGAACATGCAAAGTCCTAACAGAACTGTCTTTGCAGATCCTACTGCTGCAAGCATGCTGTACAAGCACGACTGGAAAATTCAACTCCTGCCAGGCAGATGAGGTGGAACCTCTGATGACGGATGAAGGATGGAGGTTTCCGTGCCTGGAGATTCCTCAGCCTGAACGGATAGG